AAATGCAATTCTTCTTATGCAATTTTATTAAAATTTTTAAATGGCATGCAAAGAGGCTAAGTTCGTGCCTGGCCTAGAGGTGTCCCAGGGGATAGATTTCGAGCTACCAAAAAGCATTAAAAAACAAAATAATTCCAAGAGTGAAATTATAGACTCTAAAGACGATTTTATAAGAGGCTTTCTATCAAGAGGAGGCTATAATAAACAGTACTTTTATGGCGTAACAGCTCAAGAAAAAAACCTCCTCTTTAGGCAAAGTTTAACCCCACAAAAGCCACACAATGTTGACGAAAAGTGCCCGCACTTAACCCACAAACCCATTGACAAAACGCACCCCCCTCCTTCCCTCCTTCCCTCCTCCCTCGTCTTTTTTTTTGGCTCCCACACACATAAATTTGGAGTGCAAAAATACTCGTATTATCTGCAGCCATCGAAACGTATTTGTTTGCCCAAAAAAAGAAGCACAAAACAAAATATGAAATAAAATCAAAGTAAAACCAAAAACAAAAGAGGCTTTCCCACAACAAAACAAATTCCCATGGCCCTATGCCTAAGCATGCATAATTTTAATTTATTTGTGGCGGCAGCCACAGCCCAAAAACCAGGCAAAACCACTGGCCAGACCAGGCCAACTAATAAAAGTAAAAAGCAGAGACCTGCACACAGTCCAAAATGAAGCAAAAGCCAAGGGGCAGAGGCAGAGGCAACCGAACCGAGTCTTGGGGAATATTTATGGAAATACCTTCGGGGCGGAGCTCCCGAATTGCGAAAACGTTGATCAAATTTTGCCAGATAAGCGACGAAGACGACGACGAAGACGAGCGTGGATGATGGTGATGGTTATGGCTATGGTTGTGGCTCAAATTGTGCGGCTAGAGATGGGAGCGTGACACGCAAACAGAGGGATGGCTTAGAGCAGGTGGTATTTTGGAAGCCTCCAGGCAGGTTTAGGGCCTTTTGTCTGTCCAGATTTGAAGCATAGAGCTCCATTTCATAGATCATTCCATCTGCAGGAGGTGTAATATTGTAGGGGGACAGATTGGATCGCTTCGATCGTGGGATTCTACCATTTTGGACACCTTAAAGGGCCAGAACTCTGGAAAATCAAGGGATTTGTGGAACCGTGACTCACGCACCCAACTCCAGGATCCAGCCAGCTCATATGCATGTCGAGGTCTCCGCCAGCGAGTCATCAGCCAGCAGAGGAGGAGCAGCAGCAGCAGGAGGAGGAGCGGGGAGGTCGAGGCGGCTGGGCTTCAACTCTGCGGCTGCCTTACAACGTCATCAGTTTTTGAAGGCGTTGCCAAAGAGCAACCGCCGCGGAGACTGTGGGAACTCATGTTGCATGCTGCACACATACAACTCAACCGAAGAGCAGGGCCCTAACCCCCTTTCCCCCCTCTGTGGACCGATATCGTGCCTTTGAAATCTGCATTTGGGTCTCGGCGGCTTGCCAACTCGTTTGCATTTCTTATTTGCAACGTTGCAGCCTCCGCTCCGTCAGATTGGCTGGCGTAATCTGTTTTAACTTGACTTGAACTTGCCTCAGCCCCCAGTCCCCCAGCCCCCCCAGTCCCCCAGCCCCCCAGCCCTCCAGCTCACATTGCACTTGATGGCCGCTGTAGCCTCCTCCATGGCCTGCTCGCTTTTGACGGTAGTCGTGCTTTGGTTATAAAAATTGAAGCCGCCATTAAATTCTGACAGTTGTCAGCTCTCGGTTCTGGTTGGAGTCGTAGACGGAGTCCCCGGGTTAAGTAGTTGGGAGCCCGGTTCCCCCCTAATGGCTGCTGTACTTGGCCGAATGGCTGATGATCGTTTTTGGCCAGGGATTTGGTTATAGCTGCTCTCCCAGCAATTGGCAACTCCAAATGCCTAACTGGGCATTTAGCCGGTAATAGTTTGGGGGGCCCGTAATAACCCCGGGGGGGCTGGCGAGGCAGCTGATTTGATCTTTAATGCCCAGGCAGGGCCCTGGAAATTGTCTATTCTACGTGGGGCATACGCAATCTGTCATAATTCATAATTGATTGATGATTCCGCACGCCGATGGTGGAGTTCATTCGAACATAATTAATAAATCATCAATGATCGCCATTTGATGGGGCATCTGATTAAAATTCTATAGAGAATTTTTTGCGACAAAAGGAAAAGTTTTGAGTGTATTTTGCAGGAGATCAAAATTTAGGTTGTGGGCCTCGATGGGAAGATAGAAAAATATAAAGAATAATACAAAAATAAATAAAATAATAATAGAAAAATAAAAAAAATTGAAAAATAAACAAATTGAATAATAATAAAAAAAAATATTATAAGGGAAAAATAAAAAATATAATAAAAATAGAAAAATTAAAAAATAATATAAAAATAAAAGAAAATAAAATAATAGAAAAATAAAAAAATAAAATAATAATAGAACAAAAAAAAATAAAAATAATTGAAAAATAAAATAATAATCAAAAAAAAAAATTTAATTAAAATATATTCGTAAAATAATTTTAAAAAAATTAAAAAATCGACTTGGTGTGGTTAATGCACTAGCGCACTTTCTTAATATTCCCTCGTCATTTTCTGGATTAATATCCAACAACTTTATTACTTAAAACAGAATTGTATGACTTTTAATAGGGTTTATTAGTCGTGTTTACAGAATGGCTACAACTGCAGAAATATTGAGCCAAAGTTGAAGTTTTCTTCAATTTGAAATTGTATTAAATCTAAGAAAAATTTTAAAATTAATTTAAATATATTTTTGTATGGTATAGTCATATTTTCAGACTTAATTTATTTACCCACAATATTTTCCAATAAAACTCTCTCAAATTCTCCAGAGAATGTCGAAAACACAAACCTTTTGGTAAATAAAACCCCCTAACCTTATGGCCACCAGTTCTTCCAAGATTAGCCCTCACTGCCACTGTTTTCCCTCACCGCAAAGCGGATGTTTTGAATACTCTCTCGATCTAGGGCTTTTCATGGCAGGCAGCGCCTTTTGTGGGCTTTTTTTCAGGTAGCAATCAGAGCTATCACTCAACCTGCAGCGTCTTGATGAGTTCAAATTGCTACTGCACTCGACTCGGGCCCCAGCCGCGAACCCATCTTCATTTATCATTTTCAATAATAATCAAAAGCCATCAAAAGCGCTGAATGAGACCGAAAAAACGAAGGCACACAATGGCCTGACAGACTGCAATCAACTTTGGGGCGAACAAAAGATGATGCCAAAGAATTCTCGCCCGTTCCGTACTCGCGGGGGGAGGGAGGGGGTTATTAAAAAAGAATTTGCATAAAAGACACAGGTCGAGGCACGAGCACAAAACCACAAGGATTAAGCAATAAATAACAGAGAGAGAGGGAGAGAGAGAGAGAGGGGAGTGGAGCGGAGCGGAGTGCTTGATTTTCTATGAAATTATATTCAAATTAGTTTGATGTTGCCGGCCGTAGAGGCTCCAAACGTTTGTACAAATGGCATAATTATGGTATAGACACAAAGCACTTTGAGATCACTTTGAGGGCACTTGAAATTATGCTAAAATACCGAATGGGGAGGAGGTGTGACCAGGCCCAAGACGGAGGCCGCCAGACCCCAGACACGGGCTTGGCCGAAGCTGGAGTCGGAGTCGGAGTTGGCGGCGCTCATCAATTATCCACGTGCTTACAGAGGCTGGCAATTTGTTAGATGTCTGCGGCGGCAGTCGGAAGGAGGGGACGGACTCACTTTTGACACCTCTGACGTGATTATAACACTTTTATGGTTAGTTATTAATGCTTTTCATATTCAGTAGAAGCACGCTAGAAGGAGATTTTCCAAAAGGCAAGAAAAGTGCGTTCCAGCTCTAAGAAAATTGTGTGTAAAAAATGTAACCAAAAAGGGGACAAAAGAGACACTTCCTTTATACCTAAACATTATAAAAAAGTATTAAAATTAAATCCAATTAAATGATTTTAAAATCTTATAATTTCTAAAAAATATACAGTCCTTTTTCAATGCTCAAAAAACATCTAAAAACCCCTTAAAAAAATCTATTTAAATCTGTGAAAATAATCTTTAATTAATTTTTAAGGTCAGCGAATATTTGAACCCATTTTCTTGGCCAAAAATTAGCATAATTTTAATTGAAACACTCAGATATGGATTACCCACAGGTCTAACTAATTTCCATAATATCACAAGAAAACCATTTAATTGCTCTACATGCAATATCATTTCCTGAGCTCTGGGGGCCATGTAAATTTTGTGCGCCGTCTCGACGTGCAGACGATATTCAAAACTTGACCAAAGAATATTATTCATTCCGGTTGGCGCTGGCACGTCAACCGCTCGCTATCTGTTGGCCTAAACCCACAAAGATACATATAATAAAAAAATATATACAAATATTGCGTGCAGACAACAGACAATTTTATGAAAAGAAAAAAAAGGAAACAGAAGTCGAGCAGAGAGACGACGACGATTGGCTGATGAGAGGGCGCTCCGATGATGTTAATGTGTGCCTCTGATGATGATGTTTAAGACTTGGGAGAGGGGTGGGGAACCGGTGTAGGGTTTTCGGGGAAGTGGGGGAAGTGCCGCTGCATTGCTGCAGCAAACGTGTCTGCTGATGAGGCTAATGATATGAAAATGAGTCCCGGCCGCAGATGACACGAAAGTGTGAGCAGCCATGGAGATTCATTTTATGAATGAAATAAAGGCCGCATAATAAATCAAAAGACACACACGTTGCCAAATTTTTGAGTTCAAAAGAATCGTGATCGGGACAGGAAATGGAAATGAGATGGCATTATTAAAAACTGCGAGGGGAAGTCCAAGGATGCCCCAAAGAGTAATTAAAAATCAATAAAAACATTGAATTCGTGATCAACCCATAAACATTCCGATTTTTAAAGGTTCCAAAAATATACAGATTTGAGTAATAATTCTGGAATACTTCAACAACTTCTCAAGCGCCCCTGGCAGGTGCTGGCTGCATCTTTTGAAAATAATCATAAAACATCAAACTTACCGCCAGGATTTTGCATGCAGATGTTGCTGAAGTGGCTGTCATCATTATCGGCCTCGTCTTCGTCTTCGTCTTCGTCGTCGTCGTCGGCGTCGGCAACATCGTCATCGTTATCGTCAATTGTTCCGGAGGCTGTTGATTCTGCTGTTGTTGCTGTTGCTGTGGCTTTTGGCGCCTGCAATGGTGGGGATGTTGCAGTTCTTTTCGGTGTGCACGGCATTTCTGTGGGGCTGGGGACCATGGCAGCAACGGCCACGGGATCGTTTTGCTTTAGGGCTACCAGCGAGGCGGCCAAATTGACGTGTTGCTGAGGCGTGAACCCAAATACCGATGTTGCTGCTGCCGCCGCCGCCGCCGCCACCGCCGCTGATTGAGTTGTTGGCTCGCTTTTAATTGTTGCTGCCGTGTGTTGTTGCTGCTGTTGTTGTTGTTGTTGCCAGTACTCGGCGGCTATCAAATGTTGCAGACTGTGCGTAGGCAAATGTTGGCCAAATAGATTGCTCAGATGTTGCAGCGGCGAACTGCTGGCCACATGTTGCTGCAGGAGTTGCTGCTGCAGCAGCAATTGCGGATGATGCGGATGATGATGTTGCTGAAGCTGCTGCTGTTGTTGTTGCTGCTGCTGTTGTTGCTGTTGCTGGTGATGGAGGTTGCTGAGCTGATGATGATGTGGATGATGATGATGATGTGGATGTGGATGATGGTAGAGCAGTGTGCTGGCCGCAACGCTTTCGTTGGCCTCGCCATTGATTTTGTATTTGGTTGTTGTTGTCGGCGTTGACATTGTTAGTGCTTCCGCTGGACACAGCTGTCGTTGGTTGTTGTTGCTGCTGTTGCTGCTGCTGCTGCCGCTAGCCTGATTTGTATTGCAATAGCTTTTGTATTCAAGTAACATGCCGTTTTTGTTTTTGCTGGCAACCTGCTGCCGTTTCCCGTGCCGTTGCTGTTGCTGATAGTAGTTTGCTAGCAACAATGGCATAATCAGTTCTTACAGCTAACTGTGCCAACAGCAGCAACAGAACAGCATAGAGCACACGGGTAATCACTTTCCAGGTAGATAGCAGCCCCCCAAAGAAACCTCCTTCTCCTTACGATTAGCCCGCCTCGATACGGAGTGCTCCCCGAAGTTGGTCAAGTGGACAACCAGTCGTCTGTAATTAGGCAAAGAAGATTAATTAGCCATAAAGGGTGCTGGTGGGGGTTTAACCCACTCTTTTAGATCATAAATTAAACAAAAACAATTGTCACGCTAATAAATAATAGAAAAAACATTTAAAAATAATATAAACGATATTTCGACTAGAGAAATACCTGCTTGTGGGATTTATAAGAATTAAATAGGTGTGAAATATTCCAAAAAAATCTTAAAATTAGTGGAAAACTATGAGCCAAATTATTGAAGGCTGCAAAGCCCATTTCTCCTTCAACAAATGAGAATTTTCGACCATCAAGAGAGTTTCATAATAAAAGTAATTTTCTCCTTTGAAAAAAACTTCCTTCCTGCCCCTCTCCAAATACCCCCTACAAAAACAGTCCATGCCCCCCAGGGAATCAAATCTCTACCTTGCCACAAAGAAAATTCTGGCCAGGCCAAAAGCCCCAACAATTAGAAATTCAAAGACCTCAAATCGCATTTTCAGCTTAGAAGAAGAAAGAAGGCAGTCGAGACTCCACTCATTTATGCATACTCATCATTCGGCACGCAAAGGGTTTGATGGACATGTGAACCCGTTTATCTGCTGGTTCGGGCCGCCTTCGGAGCTTCTGCTTTTCTCGCTTGGTTTTTGTCATTTTAATTAGTTCAATTTCTGTTTGTGTAAGTTTTGGTTAAATCTTCTCATTTCGCCTTGAAATTTCACCTGGCGACAAGGGCCATAAAACATGACGGGGCTGGAAATTAAAATCCAAAAATGCCAACTCATTCGTACTTTTGGTTAGCTTATCGGGCGGTTGGGTGGGGCGTGGCGGAGGAGGGCGCGAGGCGGGGGGAGGGGGGAACAGACAAAGTCTGTCAACGGTAGCAAGGCAATTGAACTGAATATTCATAATCGCCATCCGAAGATAATAACTACAAAATAGTTTCAATGCACTGAAAGAAAAAGGTGGGGCGATTAGATCGAAGAAATCAAATATAAGAAATATTTTCTATGATTTATGGGTTGGAAAATTGAAAGATATTCCCAGGTGATCGATGGTCCAATGTATTTTAAGGAAATCCAAAATAAATTAAGATTGAAAGCTTCTTTTTATAAAGACAATTTTTCATACAGTAGAACTTCCATATAGCGAATATCAGGGGGAATTTTTTATAGGGAAATAATATAGAATTAATTTTGAAGTAATATTCCCGAAATATAAATAGCAACCCTCGTAAAGAAAATTTTTAATACAGTCGAACTTCCATATAGCGAATATCAGAGGGAATTTTTTATAGGGAAAATTCGTAATATGGAATTAATTTTTAAGAATATTCTATAAAAAATATAGAGTAAAATAATAATAAATTCTTTTTAAAGAAAACATCGTTTTACGGAGGTTCGTGGTAGAGAAGTTCGACTGTATAAAATATTGGGGGCCAAGCACCCTGCGCACTCGGCTCACTCGCTTCCTTCCAAAATATAATAGAGAAATAATCCCATTGCTTTCTTAACCTTCCACCTCCCAATATATGGAATCAATATCGAATTTAATTGAATTCATTTTAATAGTAAAGGAATTTATTTTTTTATAATTTTTCCAATTTTTGAGTCTTTCTATGCTTAAAATATAACCTCCTCTATTCCTACATTTTCCATCGTTTCTCCACCTGGATTTCTCTCAGTGCTGCAATTGATATATGAGTACGTTTAGTGGCAGACTCTGACGCTTCGAACCCATCGCCTCCATCGCCTCGTGGCACCCCGACACCGATCGTGGGGCACACAGACTCCACACCGAACTGCGGAATGTAATTACAAGTCATCTACCCGATGTTTTTGACCATTTAAGCCACAACGAAACGAAGAAGAAACCCCCCCAAGAAGGGGGAACAGTAGCCGGCAATCAGACAATAAACACCGACAGAAACAAATTTCCATTCATGTATTGGGGCCTAGACACACGCATAATTGCTAATGCCATTTAAATGTGGAAGAACCCTGTTAACCCCCCCAGTCATCTTCCCCTTCCACGGCCCCATCCGAGTGCAGCGGAAATGTGGAAAGTGACGAAGGCGATTTCTCTTTGGTCTATTGTGGAGATCTCTGAACCCCGTAATCGTATTACGAAACCTATTTCGATACCAAAATGAGAACAAACTGTTCTCGCAGACAGTTTTACAGTTTTAAGCAGGGGAGCAGGGAGCCCACCATCCAAGGCATAGATTGGAAGAACTATGTCATTCGATTAGAACTATGAATAGTTGTCATTTATGGTTGATATTCAGGGAAACGATTGTAGGTTTAGGCGGGAAGACAGTAAAAAAACTTGAGCAGGAAACTCCCTGTTCGCTCTGTACGAAAAAAAAACACTAATCGAAGTAAACGAAGTTGGGAATAGTCATTATAAATTCATAATCTTATCAATTAGGAGGCGATAGTGCACTAGAAGGTCGAATTTTAGAGGAGATTGTTCTGCAAAGGCCACAGAAAAAAATGATTAAAAAGGTATTATAATTTTCGTGCAAAAAATGGATATTTTTGGGTAATATTACGATATATTTGGGTAGGTTTCTAAGAGGATTTTTTATATATGGAAAAGGGATCATCAGAAGAATATGTATAGAATTTTGAAGGGATAGAAAATCTATTAGAAGAACTATATTTGGGTTTCCGAATGCATAAAATAGTAAAACGATAAATTTAGAATTAATTTGGGTAATTTCTAGACCTTGTCTCTTCCCAAATTCCATGTGGGTTGACCTTAAGGAATGTGCCGAAAAGAAACTGCACACATATTACGATATATTTGCCCATTTCTAAGATGATTTTTCATCAGATGAATATGTGTAGAATTTTACAGAGACTTTACAGAGACAGAAAATCCATTAGAAGTACTATTTTTGGATCTCCGAATGCATAAACTAATAATACGATAAATTTAGAATTAATTTGGATAATTTATAGATCTTGTTTCTACCCAAATTCCATGTGGGTTGACCTTAGTTGGAGTTCACTTTAATGTGAAACATGTCCCAGCCTTCGTCATCGCCCTGGCAGGTTGTGAATCGCGTTTACTTCAGGCCAAAGTTCTATGTAAATATTGCTGTGCAACAGGCCCTCCCAACAGATGACCTTTGCCCACCCAACCACCCAACAATGCCCTGGCTTACATACGGGCTCCCCCCTTTGGGGCTGGGAATTTCCTGCGAAAACGCAGCCCATCAATTTCCCTAGAAATGCGATACAGTAGATATTTGGACAATAAATAGAAATAGTAGGTGTATTTTTAGCCCCGGGGCGACTTCGAATGCTAATTGAAGTTTAGTTGAAAATTAAAAACTTAATAATACTTAAGGCCTCTCATCGATTTCTGTCAGCCAGCCAAGACCGGAGTGGGTTCGGGTCTGAATTTTCGGTGTATTTATGAATAATGGGGCGACATTCGTAAAGTGCCAAATGGGGGGTGGCTCCTGGCGGCTCAAGTCGGCTTACAGCTCTGAAGCCCACGAACTCCCGCAATGAAACAATTTGCGGCTCAGCAACTAAGACAAATTAAACCCCATTGCAGCTCAATTATAATTAGCAAAACATTTAACTGATTGCCCCGCCCTGTCGTCGGCAGTTCCAAATTCCAAATTCCGTTTCCAAAATTCTAAACAAATTGGCTGTCGCCCTATCTAGACACCGTTTCCCCCTTTTTTGGCATTGAGTCATCCGCCGTTTCCCGGTATCAGGCGGTGCTATCTTGAGCCACTAGCCAGGTCTTACTGTAATTGACTAATGAATGCCATTCATTGTTTCTGCGTTTTGTTTTTGAGTTAATTTGGATTGTTATTGGTTCGATTTATGGGCAGGCGCTTTCGCAAGAACAGACACAGGTGCCAGACACCAATGGCCATCACGTGGCGTCTGATCGATTAATATACTCGTAAGAGTCACTCAAGTGCGGAAGTTTAAAGGAGATTCCCAGAATTGCGATTCAAGGGAAAGAACCAGACTCAAAATCGGTAGAGCACGGTTCAGGCGGATGATATCAGTATTTTGAATGGTGGAAAGGTACCTGGGATATCCTCTAGACAGGTATTCGATGAAGTAAGAATTATATACAGTTCATAATTAACATCAATAGCACTCTGTTTGAACTCCCACAGCTTTAGGCATTACTCTACCCAAATATTCCCTATCTGAGACACCCCCAAACGGTCCACAATCTTTGAACTATTAACCAAAACAAAGCCAATTAAAATCTAGGCAAAAAGGGAAGTCCCTTACCCAAAAAAAGACTGCCCCATTCCAAAGATTGTCAACCATTGCCCACTTGAGGGGAGTTTACGAGTGCTATCACGCCAAGACCTAGCCCAACCCGAACCTGGAACGATAGGGATAGCGATAGGGAAGAGTCGAAATCTGAACTGAACTTTGATCGCACCAAAACATCGGACCATATTCCGATAGATTCCAACCCCCCAACCCATTGAAAGAGCTCTGCGAATTCCCAGAATTGTAGAGCTGAAGAACTGTAGAGCTGTAGAGCTCTCCAGAGAGCACTCGAGTGTTTGTGTGGAGTGCAGAGCGCGAAATCAGGTGAATTTAGTAAACTTTAATCACGAGCCTTCAACTTATTTGTTAATTTTGCAAATTATATTTTATTGTTTGGCCCCTATCGCGCTTCCGATTGACGATTGACGGAGGGGGGGTGGTGCAGGACTCCTTTGACACAAAATTAACTTATCAGTAGCAAAGAAATCAATAACTCTTATCGTCCAGTCGCTGACTTTTTGGTCTTTTATGTACATTTTTTATAAAGATAGTGATTCATATGTAAATTATAGAGAAAACTATATGGCTCGATAAGATTTCAGTGAGATATCTCATGTTTATTTATAGCAAAATGAACACCTGATGGGTTTGAAAAGAAAGAAGTCAGGGAGAGGGCCAATGTGAACCGAAGAAAGCTGGGAATTATAAGAATCTATGGAAATTTTGATCCTCTAGGCTTTGTTGAATATTTATTCCATATTTTTACTGATTTAAAGCGGTTCTTTTTGTACAAAACATGCTCATGAACACTTCTTCTTTATTCCAAAGATTTTTCAATTCTTTTGAAGCCTCTTCTTCAATGATAAGAAAGAGCAAACATAAATAATACAATATGTCTTATCTGTATACCCTCCTTACATTTTCACTGCTGTTTTTCCATCACCAATAAGTGAGTGAAAGGTCCCAATATTATACATAAATTTATTCTGAAATTATTCCATAAATCCCCTCAAAATTGCTCAATCCCGGCTGAAAGAAGTCTTATCCTTCTACCAAATAAATTCCCTTAAGCTCTTCCCCTACAGGGCATCCAATTGTCGCCGTAGCTCCGCTCACCCATCAATCGATACCCATCAAATTGATTAGTTTTGTGGTGGGCTCTCGGCCGGAGTGTGTCTTGGGCAAATGCCAATTGTCGAACACGTCAACGATGATATGCAAAGTGTTGAAGTTGCCTCAAGTGCTGTTCCTCCACGACAGGTTCTTTGGACTTTATCTCTCGCACAGTTACGGCCTTATCGGGGAGTGGCCGGGGGCAAACAAATTGAACTCATTTTTCTTTTAAGCAAAAGAGGCTTCGCCACGAGTCGAGTCCACATAAATATTCCAATAATACCTAACCTGTCGTCTTGGTCTGGTCTTGTCTGTTCTGGTCTTAATCAGTTCAAGAGGCGCACCGAATATGGTAAATGGGAAAATGCAGTCAAGATAATGCACCGAGGAGGCCGGGTTCCATGCGGTTACCATTTTTATCTAATTAGGCTAAGCAGGCATGACCAAGAACAAATATTTATTATTGTACTGTAAAAATAATCAATCACTTGATCGTTACAGCAAATGGTACCACCAGCCCCCCTGCCCCACCCCCCCAAGATAACGGCATTTGAATAAGAGAAAAACAGAAACAGAAATAAAAGGAAATGCAGTTCCAACTTGTCCACCGATACTTGAACCCGAAAGAAAAAAACCCCAAGCAAAGCACAAGTGTTATGCTAATAAAAACATATCGAGACGATCGATCCGTGCCATCCGTGCCGTCCGTACCGTCCGTACCGTCCGTACCTTATCGCCAAAGGCAACAAAGTACATATGTACATAAATACATACATATATGCCCGTATTGATATAGATATAAACATCAAACAAATCGAGAAGGGAGGGTTGGGTAGGGTAGGGGAGGGTAGGGTAGGGGTAACTGCCCAAGACGATAATATTTAAAGTGTAAATCGATCGGTTTTCCTTACACTCTCTTTTGTTTATTGTATTTATTTCAATTTCAATATTATTTATCGCCTGGCGGTGGCTGGCTCTTTGCCGCGACATTGCGAAAGGTGTCGTCCGGGGTGGGGCGGGGGGGAATGAAGGAGGGCGAGGTGGCACTTCAACGCTTCAGAGTAAACCTTGATGCAGGCCCCTGTTTACCCACAGGGATGGGGGGTGAGGGGGGAGGGGAATGCCACCAGTTGGAGTCAAGGGAATGACATATGTATACCTTTTGGCTATGGGATAGTTTTTCCTGGCCTTCATAGAATTTTTTTGGTTGGGAAAAACCCCCGATCGAAAATCGTAGCAACATAAATTAAAGACGGTTTCATTTTTATTAAAGGCTGTTCAAGATTATAGATTAGGATTGTGAAATTAAATTCGTGTTTTTTCAATTGCGTGATTCACGATTAGGGGTCCAGGAATTCTGGGGAACTACTATCATAAAAGAAGGGCCGTTCGCAACAGAACGATTTACTCTACAAAAGAAATTACTTCAGCCACAACAAATTTTAGGATATTTGCGATACAAATTTGTATTTTTTACCCCAAGAAAACATTGATAACATTTATCAGTGCCTTAAAAAATTAGAAACCCACCAAAAAAGATGAAAAGGGGGATTCCTGGCATATTTTTGAAGGAATTATTTTTATATATAATTAATTGGTGGATTGGAAAGTTCTAGGCCTTTGCGATGGAAATATTCGACAAAATCGCAACAAAATATAAAGAAAATCTAATGAAATTTGTATTAAAATCCACTGCTTGCAATGTCCCAACGACAAGAAGCCTTTGAAGCCAAGGATCTGAACGAGCAGGAGGGCCCTCGAGGAGGCCACACAAAAGTCTGTCAAAAAGGCCAAGAAATGATTCCCTTTTTGGTGCGACAGCTATGAAATTGATAGACAAATGTCTGTACAGAATATACAAAAGGAATTTCTTTATATCGAAATCTGTATCGACATAAATATTTATACAAACAATTCCTGAGTGTGTGATTGGGACATAAAATATTCCCCTGAATAGTGTCCATCAAAATATTCATTTTTATTCTATGTAATATTCTTTTAAATTACCTTTTTGTTGTATTATTCTTATGATCGTATATTGTATAACTTGTGACCTCAAAATGGCAAACAAAAACTCTTCTCACTGGGCCAAACAAAAATCATTATCATATTCGTCACTTGCACTCTTGGCCCGAACAATCTGTGGCAGAATTCGTTTGAAACTCACTTTGGTGCAACCCCAAAAATTTTCGTATATTTTGCGTCTTGGCCTCCCGACCGACAAGTCGCACAAATGCCGTCGTTAAAACGCAGAAAATGCGGCACAAAAGAGCCACACAAAACGCGGCGCGTGAGGGGCGATCGTGGGGCAAGAGCGGTGTGGATCGGATCGGATCTCGGATCGGTTCAGAGCAGAGGCATCACGCGGACAGGCTCTGGCTCTGGGTCTGCCGTGGGTTCTGGTTCTGGCAGTTGGTGGCAAAGTCCGTGTGGTGTGGAGACGCGAGAGCGCGCGCACTTGAGCTACAACCACTGAACGCTGAACTGAACTGAATTGAAGCCAGCTTGTGGCTGAGTATCTGAAAGATGCGCGCGGATCGGCGAAAAGCGCTGCAACAAGTTTTTTTCTTCCTTTTGTTTCTTTTGCGAAAAACGGCAAAAAAAACAACAACAAAAGGCACATAAACAAACGGCAGCCACTGCACTCAAACAATTGCATTTTTTTGTCGCTGTATGCGTGCACACACACACACACACGTGAGTGTGCAACATTGCAATTGTTGCCCAGAGAGTGGAGAGCGAGAGAGAGAGAGAGAGAGAGAGAGAACCCAGTGATAAGATGTCGCTCACGTGGTGGCTGCCGCTCTCTGGGATCGTTCTCTCCACCAACACCAGTGCAAAAAGCTGCGATCGCTCTCTTCACGCATACCAGTGCAAAAGCTCTCCGATCCGCAAAAAGTTGCTCTCTCTCTCTCTTTGGATGCCTCTTAGGTTCCACAAAAGCTGTCGCTGTGTGCGAAGCTCTCGTGCGGAAAAGAGATGGCAATGTGCTGCTGATTTACGACTCTCACACACACACACACGCACACACACACACACACACACCATTGCTTAAGCATAAATTTATTCAAATCAGCCGCTGCTCGCTGCTCGCTGTTCGCTGTCTCTGTCCCTCGCGAGCTTTTGCCATGCTCCGTTTCGCTTTATTTAAATGCACGATTATCGCTGGCGCTGGCTCTGGCTGTGTGCGTGCTTGTTTGCTTAATCCAATTGGAGGTGGAGCTGCTGCCTCTGCTGCTGTGCTCCTCTAGCGCATGCTCCACTGCCGCATCGCTCATAGACCCCCACACGCCTGCATATTGGATCGCCAACTGTCACTGGGATCGTGGGGTGTGGGGGATTTATTTTGGGGGCACACAGCTCTATCCAATTGGATTTGTATGTTCCGAAACTGGTTTCGCATTCCATCTCTCTCGCTCTCTCTCTTTCTCTCCATTGGCACGGCTTGTTAAAGTCGGGGTTTTGGCTATTAACTAACTAAGAAATCATTTAAACATAATGTGGGATTAAGTGGTATCCATTAGGGTAGAATATAGATTCATAAAAACAGATGGATATAGTTTGGAGTACATATATATTTGTAGTCTTTTTACTGTGAATAATTTTTTGGTTCTAGGCCATACGATATTTCAATACTTTCAACCTTTAGAGATAATGTGCATCTACAGCACGATCTTTGAATGTGAATTTTGTTTTATTCATATAATTTTCTATGAGATAATGTTTTATTTTGTATGATATTTCCATGAAAACTAATATTTGCTATTTATTGGAATTTTGTATAATTTTTAACATTAATTTTGCTATTGGTTGTATTATCTAGTATAGGTGTATACTATTATATTATAATACTATAATAATTTATTAAATATAATATTTTTATTTTTTATTTATTTTTTTTTTGTTATATTTTATAGGATATTTATTTAATATTATTTGGTATTTTGTATTTAATTTGTATTGATTCTACCAAGTTATCTCCAATCTCTAAAAAATTCCTCCTAAAATACCTCCCAATCCCTAAATCAATCCTCTTTTAAATTTCCACAAACCAAAAATCTTGAAAAATTGATCTGGACAGGCGTCTGTTTTGTTCCCTTTTCCAACTGAAACACTTCAATAAAATTAATCAGCAATTAATCCACGAAAATATCTCAACAGAACCGTTGGCCAGTGCCCCTCCCCCCGCCTACCAGCCATTGAAGGCTGCTTCGATTGGAACAATGCCTTTGTTGTTGGGGGCTTCTCTGCTGGCGCCGCAGCTTCTGTATCGCATACGCACGATCGATGACACAATTCCGCCAGCAATTAAGTTGATTCACCTCTTCAAAGCCAAAGCCAGAGCCAGACCCCGAGCCCAACGTTCAATTTGCCGGCCTTTAAGAAAGCTGTCAACGAGCGATTCCACAGCGAGAGAGATCTCCTCTCCGGCTACGACCTGGGTGCATAATGCCCACCGATCGAGAGACGCGCACACAATTGTTTACCATATGGAGGATGGCCAGGCATTCCGAGCTGTCCAGTCGGGCTTATTAGCCTGTCGTTTGCATTTCTGCGCTACCGTATTTCTGCGGTATTTCTGCTTTGTTGAAGAGGCGCCGGGGCCCGGCCCCCCAATCCACGCCAGCCAGCCAGCCAGCCAGCCAGCCAGCTCTGAGGACTGCCGGTCAATTTGAATGCAAATTCCAGGCATTGCACGCTTTTGGTCATTCAAATACTGCCGCGCACAGTGGCCAACGCTTGGGGGAAGATTTTGAAGAATGAAGGAAGGGATGTGGGAATACCCTGGGATATAGAAGAATTATTTAATTAATTATTGTTGATTTTTTTAAGAAATTTTAGATGGTATCAGGGAATCCATACCCTGATCAAAATAGATTCATATTTTTCTAATATTTCCATAAAAGTTGCGATCAAAATATACTTAATATAACTATATCGATGTTTTTTAAGGGAAATATAAGTACAAATATAAGTAGAAATTGTAAGACTAGATTACGAAATCCCAACAAGTAGAAAACACGTCAATAATACATCGATATTACGTTTTTATAGTACAGTCGAACTTCTTTATTAAAAACTTCCATGCAACGACGTTTTCTCTATAACTTATTTACTTCCCGAACACTGAAATGCTATATTCTGCAGACCTAAATTCTATATTACAGATTTTCCATTTAACGGATTCTCCTTGAGATTCCTTATATGGAATTTCGACCGTATATTATATATAGTTATTAATATTTAAGATTTAATCCGATAGTGCTTTCTTTTTTTTTTAATTTTAATTAAATGCAAAGAAATATAGAAGAGAAAACTTCGCTTGAAAAAAAATTTGCTTAAGAATTAAAAACAGTAAAAAAATGTAATAAAATAATACTAATACTGATTGACAAATTTTAATTTTTTAAAAATAATCTGCTCATATTTTCATCAATTTAAAGTAATTTTGTTCAACTTAAAAAACAATTAGACTCAAGTTATAGATCTATAAAAATTCTTAAGCTCAAACCACTGTGCCCTGATCATTGGTTATCCTGGGACCAGCTCATCATGCTTGGTTTGTTTCCTGGAGCTCGGATCTATGTTTAAATTACCATTTAAATGTTAGTTTTTTCATTGGCCTCTCCGCTACACTCCCCTGGCACTCCCCTGCCACTCCGTGGGGCATTTCATCACAATGTTACATTCACATTATTCAGGCAGCATAAAATTGCAAACACATATTATTGACACATCATTATCAATCAAAAGTTATGCTCAGCTGAGAGTCCGCAATGCTTCCGCAAAAGAGGCACCAGAACGAGTACCCCGACTGCCCCGACTGCCCCACACGCCCCTGTTCATTACTCTATGGATTACAGCTAAGTTTTATGACCATGATTTATGGCAGAATTCTTCATAGGCGGCCGTTCTGGTTTGATGGTCCAGGCCCGGTCTGGTCTCGGGCCCAGTGCACCATGAAGCCTCTTCGCCAAATCCGAAAAAAGACACACTCGCTGACACGCACAGGCCGTCTAGATGCGGGCTACTGTACAGATGTATCTGTATCTGTATCTGTATCTGGCAGATACGCAGCTCGCTCGCTCACTAACTTTATGCTTTATGGCCTAATCCCGATGGTTAGTTTTGTTCAACATAAACTGCTCGATTTCATGTTTTCCATTTAAATGTCATAGAAAGTTGTTGCAAATCTTTTTTCTCTCTCTCTATCTCTCTCTCTTCTCCATAATTTTGGTTAGTTTATTGGTTTCGTTTGAATGCCAAATGCATTTGCCTTGTTTTAAGTGATAATAATTGGTGGGAATAGTGGCATTAAATGCTCCAAATGATGGTCGGTGTCAAGGTAAAGATTTGAAGATTGTGGGGGGAGTTTGAGACGGGGTTTTGAGGGGCGAAAGATGGGTTTATATGATAATGAGAGAAACTTTCAATCAAAGAAAACTCTTTTCACATTTTCGTGGTGGAATTTTAATCTGTTGGACATTCCATTACATTTTTATGAGCCCAGTTATGCTAAGAGCCCACGTTTAATGATATAGCATTTACAAATATAATGTATATCCTCCGCGTTTAAGCAAAAAAAAATACCTTGTTAGACAACTAATATAATATTCATCATACGAATACGAATACCTTTGTGGTTTGTACATTTCCTTGGCTTTGGTTTCCCCGAATGGCATCTCATCCATATGGAACTGCGTGGAAGGCAGGCCATTTTTCATTTCACACTTGCAACACGCCAGCCGCTGCACATTTTTCTCTTTAACGCATTTTAACCCTCCGCCGGGACTTTGCATTTAAATTGAAAAACCCCAAAGAGAGAGAGAGAGAGAGACAGAGAGGAAAACAATTAAAATTGATATGAAAAGGGCTGTGTCTTGGGGCCACCGACCGACGCGTTGACAAATTGTCCGATTATGCAAAGAAAGTTTTATAACTTTAATTGTCGCATTACAACACCAACACCAGCAACAAAATGTTGCCTGTTGAGGCAGACAACAAAAGGCTGTGTAATTAGACGGGTGCTCCTCCGGCACCCTCCCCTCCCCCCTCGCCTGACTACATTTCTTCTGGAGCATTACAAATGAGCCATTGGCGTGCGACTCTCTTGATTATTTTAATTTCGGTTTAACGCTCTTTCCGTGTGTAATTGTTTTTTAAGCAAAAATCTAGCCTCGGAGGTGGACTCCTTCAAAGTTGAATTTCAATTAGCATAGCCTCTCGCCCTCGGCCCGCACATCGACTCCGCCCCTCCTAAGTTGTGGCGATAAATTCAACCATTACAGGTGATTTTTTTCCCCATTATTTTGAGATCGGTCTGCTGTGATAGGCCGGCCTGGCCAGCCTCGGGACTGGCACTTACCTCAGATTTCCATCTCTTTGCTTTTCATTTCAATAACTAATTATTGCAGACAGATTTCCAACAGTTTA